GCCCCTTTAATCCAATAAAAGGGGTGTAACCTAAGAGATCTACAGATAAACTAAAGAAGAATAAAGACATATGCCTCCCGGACAGGCCTTTCACTCAAACAAGACCGCTGAGCTGAACAGTAAGAGATGCTCTTACATTATTGCATTCGGTATTAGAAGCCTTTTTACATGTGGTAAAATGCTCCTGTTAAGGATATAATAATCTGTTCGGGACCAGAAATATTTTGAATTTCCCAGGACCAACCTGTTTAGTCTGACTTAGTAGCCAGCGATTACAAGGCACTTCACACTGCACAACGCTTCTTCATATTTGCGATCTAAACAAATATTCATGTATATTCTCTAGAAACAAGTAGAGCATTGAGGTAAAGCAGGGAGCCATGGATATGATTAATTGCTTGGGACAATGCTAATACAAGTTGTTGTTTTTAACGAATCTTCATAAGATGCTTGGGGAAAAAAATGTTCAAAACCGCGAAGCAGACTTGCTCAAAGAAACATCCTGTAAGCGCCCGAGTGAGGACAGGAATCCACGTCTTGGCCTTTACCCTAGAGGTCTACGATCTGACATCCTCAGCTGAAGAAAGCGCTGAGAAACTCTCTTGTAAAGAAACCAACTGCTGGCTTATTGAAACTGACATAAATTGGGAGTTGTCTGCTTTTTCTTTCTTCTTTAGAAGGATGCTTGATTCAACAAAGCAAGTATTACTTTAAAGAAGGTATGTAAATTGGTCTTTTTTCTGAATTGGAACAGAAATAACCCCAAACTGGAAGGCCAGGGAAGGGAAGCGGAGAAGAGGAGGTACCCTGAAGCTGCAGCATCAGAGGCTGTTACTCTTTTTGAGTTGGAGAAACTGTCAAAAACTATAGAATTTTTCTAAGCTTTCATGAGGAGAAGAAATACTGCAGTTAAAAGAAGTGGTAATTAACTCCACAGAGAGCTGAAGCTGCATTACTTGGATTTCAACGTGCACCTTCAAGGCAACCAGCCGTGGGTCTGCTCAACCTGGGAGAGTTTTACATCCGGAGCCTGCCAGCGGGCGATGACTTACTACAACCGTGGCACATACACTACCTGTCATTGTTGGAGAGGAGAAATAATTTTGGTGAGTTTCAAAGTGTTTATAAAAATTACAGGGCTTCCCCGGTGGTGCAGTGGTTGAGAGTCCGCCTGCTGATGCAGGGGACGCGGGTTCGTGCCCCGGTCCGGGAAGATCCCACATGCCGCGGAGAGGCTGGGCCCGCGAGTTGTGGCCGCTGAGCCTGCACGTCCGGAGCCTGTGCTCCGCAACGGGAGAGGCCACAACAGTGAGAGGCCCGGATATCGCAAAAAAAAAAAAAAAAAAAAAATTACAAGTCTGTTTCACTATAAACGAACTCCACTAACTTTACCCTAAATAATCAATGTAAAAATAGAATGCCTGTTAACTTATTCATGACTTTTCAGAAGGAGTGTTATTTTTCTTGATTCAGTTTGGTATGCAGCTTGGTATAATCATTTAATCGTGACTGAGTGCAGGTTTCATGATGCAACAATCAGTGTTCAGAAGAGCTTTGAACCCACTGGGCTAGCTCGTCTCACAGCACAGCTGAATCAATTCCATAGTACTGAAACTGACATTTATGTATTCTGGGAAGTGCACAGTAATTCTTCAAGGGATACATGAAGACACGGATAGATTATAAGAGGATCAATTTCCACTGCCTTAACTTTCACACGTACATTTACCTAAAAATGACCTTTTCCCACATCCCATTTCAAATCACCCCTTTCTCAAATTGCACTAATACAAAAACCTCTTAAAGCAAAGAGATAATTTAAAATTTAAAATACTGGTGTTAATAAGGTCTAAAAGTGGTTTCTAAAGCTTTCATAAGACACTGAAGGTGGACCTAAATAAATTTTCAGCTGATAAATCATTGAAAATAATTTTTGATGATAGAATTGTCAGTACTTTTCGGCCTCTTAGCTCAGGTGGTGTTCAGATTAAGAGTAATTGCCATAATAAAACTCTTCCTGTCCCCATCTACCCAAAACGAACACAATTCTTATGGCTTCCCTAAAAATAAAAGCGACAAGGACAAATAAAACTGACGCTGAGTAGTGGGGGCCACATTTCTCAACGTCAAAGAACAAAGTTCCAAAGATGGAAATGAAATGGCTGCGAGGAATTCCGTGGCGTTTCACGGAGGTATTGATATGCAGAGAGGGAGAGAGAGCACAAAGGATATCGAGGCTTATGTGTAAACTCTCTTCTAAAATAGTGAAAAGAGGGGCAAGGACGTTTCAGTGGAGAAACCAGGCAGATGCCTCCGTAACAGAGTAGTAAAGGTCAACATCACCAGGAATGGGCCACGAGCCTTCCCGCAGCGGCTGCCACGAGAACACAGTATCTGCGATAGTCCTGTCAAATGATAACCTTGATGCAGTCATGAGGAAATGCCAGACAAAACCCCGAAGAAACACTCTGCAAAACACCAGCCCATACACTTCAAAAATGCCGAGCTCATGAAAGACAGAGTAAGGAAGGGTTCCAGATTAAAGGAGATTAAAGGGGTCTGCAGATTAGACAACAGTACAGTACCTGTTAGGGGCTGAATTGTGTCCCCCCAAATTCATATGCTGCAACCCTACTCCCCAGTACCTTAGATGTGACTGTGCTTGGAGATGGGGACTTTAAAGCAGTGATTAAGGTAAAATGAGGTCGCTAGGGTGGGCCCTAACCCAACATGACTTGTGTTCTTGTAAGAAGAGGAGAGTGGAACAGAGACTTGCACAGAGAAAAGACCACGTGAAGACACAAGGATGAGGAAGGCGTCCATAAGCCACAGAGAGAGGCCCCCAAAGAAACCAAACCTGCCAGCACCCTTGCCTTTAACTTCCCGTCACCTGAACTGTGGACAAATAATGTTCTGTCCTTTGAGCCACCCAGTCTGTGGTATTTGTTATGGCGGTCCTAACAAACTAATACAGTACCGAGGTGAATTTCTTTATTTTTAATTATGCAGTAGAAAAAGAAGATGTCCTTGTTTGTAAAAAATACAAACTGAAGCATTTAGGGGTTATGAGACATATTGTCTGAAACATACTCTCAAATGTATCAGAGAAAAAATGATACCTATGAATGAAGGAGAGCGAAGGAGAAAGAAAGAATATCAAAGCAAAAATGCTAATATATTAACATTTAATATATTAACATTTGGGGGAACATGGGTAAAGGTATAAGGAAATCCTTTGTATTATTTTTGCAACTTTGCTTTCTGTCTGAGATTATTTCAAAATAAAAAGTGTAAAAAATTTATGGCAAGCCTAGTTTCATTCTAATGATAGGTAAAATTTAAGAATGGGTACATTAACTATTTTTGTTCTAAGCCACAGCCATCTCATTAAGAAACAACAGTTTCCAATAATGTGTACTTTTCATTTTTGATAATTATCAAAATTTAATAACATGGTTGCTTTGATCACATATATAGTAATAATGACATAATACTATAGGTCAAAATTAATTTGTAATCCTTCTTGTACATGTTTGTTTTAGGCTATTATCCTAGGGTAATTAACAAAATAAAGCATAAAATATATTAGATTAGAATAAACTTTTGTGGCATAATAGAAACACATGTTCAAAGAGAGAAAAGAATGATGCTAAATTTTTCAGTCGTAAGAGCTAGTCATTATGTTTTTTAAGTGGACTTAAAAAATATAATAAATGTCAAGTTGTTCTAATACATAGAGTCCATCGAATACATTTAAAAGTGATGAAAATCAATATTTAGAATATACTGGAATTTACATTCTCTGAAACTTTTAAACTAAACAGAACAAATGTAGGGAATTCCCTGGCAGTCCAGTGGTTAGGACTCCACGTATTCACTGCCAAGGGCCCGGGTTCAATCTCTGGTCAGGAAACTAACATCCCAAAAGTTGAGTAGTGCAGAAAAAAAAAAAAAAAAAAAAAGTATACTGTCAATATTTTTATTTACGAGGAGATACATAGGTACAGAAAATGTTTGAAGTAAGAAGTATCTGACAACTGCACTAGTTTATTTCCGATGGGCCGAGTAACAATAAATATCCCCACGCGAGGGCCCAGGTGATGCAGAGAGGGGACGGGTGCTCTTACTAAAGAGCACTAAACGCATTGTAAACAGTTATCCCTAGTCACTAGAGTATTTTTTTTTTTTTTGCCATTTTTGTTTCTCTTTTAACTGTTTCCATTAGTTATGTGCTTGTTCCTATGGAATTCCGTCCTATTTCCAAAAAGACAGTTTCTCTAAACTACTAAGGTGATAATTCCCATTTATGTTGATTTGGCTTTATAAAAGGTTACTAAAATTTTCCTTAACTTCAAAATTCCAGTGATGTCATTAGAGGATTACTAGAGTTTATAGAATACTAAATGTTTAATTCATTTAAAATATAAAAATTTAAAAGAAAGATGATATGTTCAACTGTTTTAAAGTGAGACTTCATAAAATCAATGGAACCTCATCTTATTATTCAGTAAACAGGGTTGGGCCGTTGTGAGGATTAAATGAGTTAACATCTACAAGGCATCTGACAAACGTGCTGAGTGGCTGCCTCACTTTTCCTCACAAAGGAAACTTTCCGGGCTGGTGTTAAGACATGAGTCATTACTCTCTTTTTGTGTACAAGAGCCTCAAGTGCGGTACAAGTGACAAACGCTAAGGGTTTGGATAACCCTCTCATGCACATCAGTAGATTATCAGGAAATGTAAACCTTACATTCGAACGTTTTACCCTTAGGTTAACTTCATTTTTCTTTTTAACAAATTCACACACTGAAATAAGTGTAAAAATCAGGAGATTTTTTTTCTTCCAAGGCATTTTAAGGTATTTCCTAAAACATGCACAACCAGGAATCGCTGTTTGGGGTTTCTAAAAGAAGTGGGGGGGTAAAAAAACAACCTTTATTTAAAAGGTTATAAAATTTAATATTGAGTAGTAAGAAAGGTATTTAAAAAGTATTACTTACATTGGCACAGTGTAAGGCTAAAGCACAAAAGACAGCAAACATCTTGAAGTTGTTTTCGTCCGTCTTAGAGAAGGCACTACCGCTGATTTTGTTCACCATCTGCACCACGCCTATCACGCTGCCCCGACTCACGATGGGCATGCACAGGATGTTCCGGGTCGTGTAGCCTGTGTACAGGTCCACCTCTCTGCGCGAGAGTCAAGGAGCAAGACGACAAAAGAAAGAACAGGCAGAAGAAAATAAACCACACGTTCTATCGTAAATCTCAACTCAGTTTTGCGTCTCTTACAATTAACTGTAATGGAACTGTTAGCGTCTAAATTCAAAGACAACGTGACATCTGCAAGTGTTTTATTAAAACCTTCTCAAAAATATTCTAATGAACTTGTTCCGTTTTCAAGAGAGTTCTTCAGAACAGTAGTATATATTCTGCAAATATTTTCTCACAATCTGTCGCTTGCCTTTTCAGGTTCTTAATAGTTGATCCATACATTTTTATATAAAGGCTTTATATAAGGATATGTAAATATTTTCAATATTTAAGTACTTTAATAGCAAGTTTGTTCCTTTAAGAAAAAACCTGAGATTTTCAGCATACTCTTCACGTATTGATAAAATCTATTACGGGGATACAGCTGTGTTTATATGCGAGTCATGAATATCTGACATTGATCAATCAGACGCCTGAAAAGCTTCCTGTTGCCTGTGGTATTTAATTGTCTCTTGAAGGAAGCCCAGTGTCTGAATGCACAGAGCACTGCTGCCAAGACATGCGAGCCATTACTTTCAGTGGTCAGGGCGTCAACCTTGGGATTTCAATTTTGAGACATTTATTAAAATCGAACTATATAAACTGGTTTCTAGTTCTCCAAAGACACTCAGAACAAAATAAAAAATCTTTATAAGCAATCCTAATATCCACTTCAATAATATCCAATAAAGGCTGCAACTTATTGAGTTCCTACTTTGGGTCATATAAAGTTGCCAGACCTTTTATGAATATTTTAAAAATCTTAAAATCTTAATCTTAAAAAAAAAAAACCTTACAAAATAGGTATTACTGTGCCCATTTTAAAGATGAGAAAACAACTGAGGCTCCAGATTAAGTAACTTACTGCAAGTCATTCTAGAGCCAATAAAGGACAGAACCAGGATTCAAAACAAGTACTTTTATCACTATGTGTTACAGCCTTTGAAGGTATTGTTTGATAAAGAATATGCTCAGGACAAAATGATGACACTATAATGAAGAAAAGTAACTTTATAAATTTAAACTCTTGCTTTTTAGTTATTTTTATAACATTTCAAACCCCTGAAGCTGGAGATAATTAATGGTTTAGAATCCATCATTTTATATTGATAAATACCTGAAAACACTGACTACTGATAATAAGCTGGTTCAAAGACAGTATAACAGCACCAAGTGGGGAAAAAAAAAATTGAGTTGGGACACAAAGAACTAGGGCTCTACCTCAGAGGCTTCGGCCAAGCGGGACCCGAAAGGAGAAACCGACGGAGGACACAAACTCCTTCTTACCTGTTAAAGCGTGGGTCAGCATAGGCATCTGGAATGTTCAGGACTTCCCCTGTTCTTGCTACTTGACCAGCAATTCCTTTCTCAATTGAAAATCTGCACATATAAAAAAGAGGAACATGCTAATTAAAATACAGATGTAAAATAATTTGAGACATTTCAGTACCACCAAATATTGAATAAAACAGATTGCTTTACTTTAAATGCCTGTATTAGTTTTACATTTACATACTCTAAATCATATTATTATAAAATACATAAAGGTAAAGCGTAAAAACACTGCAGAGTAACCACTTGAGAACATTGTTTTAAGATATAATTCACGATGTATTAAATTATACTGAATCACAAGCTGAAATTGAAAATTAACTAGCATTCTCCTGCACTGACCAATAATAATCTTTTATATTTGCAAAATACCTTATAATTTACAAGATGCTTCAACATAAATTTTCTTAATTAATTCTCACTGTGAACTGAGACCCAAATGGGTTCGATAACTTGCCAACACTCTTAAAATATTAGTGACACAATAAAAACAAGAATGCAGGTCAACGCCAGGGTACGTTGCACCACCCATGTAACCAAAACCACAGGTTATCTGTGGTCTTTGAGATACAGGACTTGAATTTTAAGGCATTTGCAATACAAGTACTATACCAAAATAACACAATTTGCAACTTGCAGTATTTTTACTCCTCTAATTTGTTAAATTTAAAAACAGCCAGAATACAGGCATTATCTCACTACACGTAAATGTTTTGATATCTAATATCAGCATTTTTATACATAAATATATTCTAACACAACACTGTAAAGCAATTATACTCCAATAAAGATGTTAAAAAATATTCTTATATTTATAGTTTTTCTCATTACGATATTATAATCAAACATGGATTCATTCAAAATGTAGTTAAGAAGATTACAATCACAATATCTACATATTTCAATAGCTCAAAAATTACTTCCATAATATTACATTTTCAGCATTATAGAAAATAATCATTATTGAAATAAAGCTCCACCCTAAGGATTTCCCTAAGGAAAATTCAAAAGAGAATTGACACCAAAGAGAACTAAATTTCTTAAAACACCAAAACGTGAACCCAACCTTGCACTGCATAAAATGCGAGGTTGTTTTCGCCCTGGTTTTCTTGTGCTTTAAACAACATGACCACAACAAATTAGAGTGCCTTGAGCAGAGCAGCAGAATCCACTTCATGGTTTATGCTTATTTTCTTGGTCTAGGAGTAGCTCGGTGTGGTTTGCTATCTAGGGTCAGTGGAAGCCATAACTGAGGGGCCAGTCCTCACATAAATGGCTGGCATCGCTTGGTCAGCCGAGAGAGCTACAGCCAAACATATCCCCCTCACTTGTTTTTCCCACACTTGTAAATACAGGCTCCCAAGTTAACGTCTTCAAAATGAGATCGATGCCAGCACTGTTACGGAACACTCAAACCTTCAGCAAAAGAAATGACTTTACCTAAATGACTATATCCAGACTGATCTACTGAGCTCCAAACAAACAAACAAAAACTAAAACAACTTTTTAAAAAACCTAAGTGGTGCCTGTAAGTCAGAGTTATGTGAGTACGGAATATAGGTTCTATTACCCCAGGACGACAGAATGGGAAGCACCCAGTGGTGGGCAGTAGTGAGGCCCAGTGCAGACCACATTCCACGTTTCCTTGTATGACAGACGGCCCAAGTGAATAGCAATTCTTATTAATAAGGAACAGCATTTTACTAGCAAGTTGTAACTACCAAGGTACTTTAGAGTACTATGCGAAAAAGTAGTTAAACGATATATATCAATATAAAGCAAAAGAAATGCAAATATCTAAAAAAAATACCATTTCTGAATGTTACGCTTGATTCTTAGCAGTTCTGTGACAGTACCCCTTGTAGGTGCCCAGACTGTCATAGGACTGAGCCATCGCACCTCTACCAGCCAAACTCCATTCTGTTCACCTAACTGACAACAGCTGCCACTTCAAGAACGAAGAAGGCTGCAGTTTCCAGATGCAACAGAAGTGTTCTCTGTGATCGATTAAGCCAGCTGTTGGGTATAGAATAATGTGCTGAAGTTACCAAGTATACCAGGTCAATTTCCACTATGGTCTGGACTCTGAGACAGCGCTATGAGCTGGGAAGGGTGGGGTCCGGATTGTTTAAGTACACCTGCTCCTAGACACAGGAAACCTTGCAGACTCCAGGTGGGGTGCACCTTTACCTACCTGGCAGCACTAGTAAGTTTTTCCAACATGATTTCCAAAAGGACCGCCTCCGGAAGACGGCATTTCCAGGAGTGACGCTAAAGCTTCCTAGGCGCGGTTTCGCTGGCACTGCAAGGTCATTCCCAGAAGCACTACCTTCAGGAGGCGGGTCCTGGTGGGAATGATATCACAGTATGACAAGTACTGTCAGCACACCTGTGAATAGGCACAGACAAGTGGGTAACAGAGCACCTGCACAGCCGCCAGCACAGCGACCGACACGCTACTTCCAGCTGTACCTTATTTCTTTGGTCTTCTTGAAGACAGGTTTTCCTTCCTTTTCCTCTCCGATATCAAAAAGGTCCGAATATAACTCCTTGCTCTTATGGTCTACCTGGAAAAGCGCACAACGATCGGCATTCACCAGGTTTTTTGCATATATCTAAAGGGAAACGAGAAAACAAGAGTAAGCCGATGAGAGATTCACAGAGTTTACAGGTAAACTTTATCAGAAATAAATATTAATTTCAGCTACTCTATACTGTAACTGGGTAGGAAATTAGCATTATAATTAAATAAACACAGGCATATAAATACAAAAAATAATACTCTCTGTCACTGTCAAGGTGCTGACACTGGCAGCCGCTCTCCACCCACGCTGTGCGGGCAGATGTTGGAATGTTACAACACTCCTGGGTGGGCTGGAAAGCAGCTACTGGCCTTTCTCCCTGAGAGCCTGTCTGCCGCCCTGGCTACTTTTCCAGAGCTTCTCAGGGCGCCCTGATGCCCTAGTCTGAGCCTCTGTCAGCTCTCAGGCCAGCACCCGTTCTGACTGGCTGGCGTTTACAACATACCAGTTGTAAAAAGTATGAAATGTGTGTCCAATGAGACACACGGTGTCCGTATTTACATCAGCTGCATTTTATTTGCTGCACTAACAATAATGTGTGACAATTAGTAAGTGTTTACTCTGTGCCAGATAGTTTTTATAGACTTATGTGCATTAATTCACTTAATCCTCACAATAACAACATTAATTCAGGGGAAACTTAACCTCCTTTCTACACATCAGAAAAACTGAGGCACAGAGAGGTAACTTAACTTGTCCGCTATCACGTGGCTAGTAAACGGATCTGGTATTTGAACTCATCCTAGCTGTTTCCATGGCCTATGCTCTTATTATCAAACGTGCCTTACCATTTCTGAACGGAAAACTGTGGATTCATATTGTCATGCATTGGTTCATCAATTCCCTTCAACAAGTACGTCTTTGATGCCTAACATTTCTCACTGTCCCCAGTGGGCTGGGATTACAGTTATATCACAAAAAATTGTATTTACCCATATTCAGAATTCTGGCAACGTCAAGATGATAGACATGAAACTATTGCTCAGAGAAAAAGAATTACTTCTCAGAAAAAGAGCCATCACAAAGTCTACGCAAAAGGGACATAGGCCACCTTGTGGCCAGAGGAAAACATATAATCTCATGTAAAAATACCTTATAGATTAAATAAAAAGAAATCGGAGTGGGTCAGGTACCCTGGTTCATTCTCATATTGTATCTTTGTCTTTCCTGCTATTATAAGCTGTACTCATTCACTCAGCAAACACTGGCTGTGCCTTATACGCCGTGGACCAAGTACTGGGCATTATGAGTGTCAGAATTTCCAGGTGACCTGTCTCGGCCACAAGCTGACCGATGAGGACCTCATCAGTGGAAACTGCTTCCTTTCCCCCACGGTATCCCGAACGCCCAGAACCAGGCCTAGAGCAGAGGACGGCTAAAGTCCACAGGCCATTTAAATCCACCCCATTGCCTGTGTTTGTAAATAAAGTTTCACTGGGACAGAGCCACGTGCATCCTTTATGCATGGTTCACAGTTGCTACAACAGCAGTGCGGGGTAGTTGCAACACAGTACGGCCCACGAAGCATAAAACTTTACTACTGGCCCTTAAAAGAATTTGCCAGCCCTTAGGTTAGGACATATAAGAGCTCTCAATAAATACTTGAGGAGGAGGGACAACGTGACGGTGGGAAGGGAGCTATGGGTGTCACCGCTGGCGATCCCAGAAGCATCACCCGTCTATTCTGCACACTCACGCGATCTTGAGTTATTAAGTCATAATAAATTATCTACAGTGACATCTGCATCCTTAGTGGTCATGCTGGCTGCTTGATACTTGGGCACATATTTAGGTCAATAGTTATAAAAATCTGGATGAAATGGACAATTTTCTAGAAAAGGGAAATGAATTCAGAAGGAGTTGTAAAATCTGAATGGAATCAGAATCATAAAGACAATTGAAATACTGTAAAAATAATTTATTCCCATAAAAGGCAGCAGGTCCAAATGATTTCAAATACGAATTACTCAAGAGTCTTCACGAATAAAGTCCCATCTAATTTAAATTGTTGTAAGTTCAGACAGAACAAAACTTCTCCAGTTATTTTTACAACCCCTGCTATGTCACTGATACTAAAAATTGACAAAGATACTATGAAAAAGAAAATCACAGACCAATTTGCCTTAGAAACAGAAGGAAAATTATAAATACACATATTAGCAAGTCAAACAGGAATAAATATTTTAAAATTTCCATATTTTAAAATTACACTCTATTCATAACTGTCCAGTATTGTAAAGTCTATTGTTATAGTTCATAAAGCAATAAAACAAAGGAGAAAAATCAAATGATTGTCTTTATGGCTGTCAAAAAATATATGTAATGAAATTCAGTAATTATTCATGATAAAGTTTTAGTGAAATGGGAAGAGAAGAAAAAATATATATGTACATGTGTATATATCGGTATGCATACACATCCTGATAATATGTGACAATATCAGTCCTCATCATACAAAATGATAAAATACCAGAATTAACCAATTAAGACATTAAAGTTATGAACAAGACAAAGACATGTTATCATAATTATTAACACACAATTAGGTAAGAAAAGCATGAGTATACATATTTGAAGAGACAAAAGTTTTACTGTTAGGTGACAATGTTACTGAGTATGTTGAAAAGTCAAGAAGATCAACTGAAAACAATGACATGCAATAAGAAAGACTTCCGTTTTAAGGTGAGTGACTCAACACATGTTTACTTTTTCGTTCTCCCCGAATATTAAACTTCCAGTTTGAAATGACACTCACATACTGGAAAAGAGTTAATAAATAAATCCTAGGCATATTTTGGTAATATTGATGAACTCCAAGCCTCAGAAGGTCATTCTAAAAGCCATCCCCGCTCCTACACACATTCTCTCTCACACGTGCACAGACACACACATGCACACACACGCACACAGGTTTACTTACAAGCGGAAGATAATTTTTGACAGCAACAGAGGATTTAAAATTCAGTGGAAATATATCTTCAAATTTCTGAGGAAAACTTGTTTTAAACTTAAAATTCTTTACCAAGTCAAACTAGCATTCAGTCATAAGGCAAAATAAAGACATTTCTCAAGCACACAGATGAGACCGAGCAAAAATAAACAAATAGATAAATTCAAGGAAGCATGGGAAGACTTGGGGTACAAGAAAAGGTGATGAGCAAAGAACCCACTAAAACTATAATGAAGCTGTACAATTCACTAGGAAATGATATGTAAGGAGTTACAGGTGTAATATAAAAAAGCGAATTAAAAAAAAGACCTAAAATATCTGGTTGTGCCCCCAAAATATATAAGATTAAAATGTAAAAAAGGAAGAAGTAAATTTATGCTGTGTTTTATCATGGACCACACATACGTGAGCTGGACAGACAGAGAAGGACATATTCCTGAAAACATAATTTGAGGCCCCAGGTCCGGCAATTACAGAAGTCTGAAATTTCAAGGTTCTCAGTGATAAGGGCCAAGAAATCCCTCCTTTTATTCTCTCAAACTAATCTGAGTTAGGTAGTTGACATCTTTTGGCTTTTACACCAAAGAGTCCAAATTAACAAACAAGATCAAGGCGAGTCTGATTTGAGAGAGACAGAGGGAGGGTGGGAGAAAATATTCATTAATTGAATTACAGATGAGGAAGGGAATTTAAGTACAGATGAGAAGAATATTTAAAGTGCCCATAAATTTATAAAAATTAATTGGAAAGTCTCATTCATTAATTTTCAACTAGCCGATGAACCACCTCTCCACGGAGAATGTGAAAACGGTGAAGGCATTTCTATTTGTGGTGGACCGGCTGGTGATGAGTCGCTCTTGGCATTTAGGTCTCAGAGGTTAAAGATGCTGAACACCTGCAATGCTCAGGCCAGTACTGTGTAAGGAGGAGCGGGTCTGCCTAAAATGTCAATATCACCCCCCCACTGAGGAACAGTATATGCACATTAGGAAAACTATATCTACTCTCACTGGTTCCTTTCAACAGTGTTCTTAGGTCCCAGCGAATACATTAAAAACAAAAAAGAAATAGTGTAAGCATTGGAAAAGTAGGACCACTGCTCTCATTATATCATTATAAACGATTTTCTTTCGTGAAAATCCAAGACTGTAAACTGAAAAAACACAGCTTAGCAAATATGGGGAATCAAAGTCAACACATTCAACCTAGAGAGATTTTTAATTGAAAATAAGACAATGTTTTTGTATAAGAAGACTACATATGCTAAAGGTATCAACTCTACTTAAGATTTTATTAAATTAAGGTAGTTCCAATATAAATCATACACCATGATGAAGAGGGATACATCACAGGAATGCAATAGACTAAAAATTTAAAAACACATGATCATCTTAATAAATACAGAGGAAATGGATGTTGACAAAATCCAACGTCCAATTAATATTTACAATACTCAAGAAACTAGGAATACAAGGGAACTTCCTCACCCTGATCAAGGCTACCTATGAACAGTCCACAACTAATCCATCTACTTAATGGTGAAAGACTGGAGAATGGATGCTTCTCCTCTAAGATCAGGAACAAGACAAGGATGTCCACACTCACCATCTCCTAATTCAATATTGTACTGGAGGATCTAGCCAGAACAATTATGCAAGGGAGAAAAAAAAAAAAGGTATACAGATTAGAAGGGAGGAACTAAAACTATAACCAATTACGGATGACATGATCTTGCATATAGAAAACTCTGAATAATCCACTAGGAAACTACTGGAAGTAATGACTTCATCAAGGTTGCAGGATACAGGATCAAAATACAAAAACCAATTTCATTTCTATATATTTTCAATGAAAAATGTGAAAATAAAATTAAGAACACGATTTCATTTCTAATATCACTAAAAGATAAAATACCTAGGAATAACTTTACCAAAAGAAGAGCAATGCTTGTACTCTGAAAATTACAGAACAGTGTTGAAAAGATTAAGAAGAGCTAAATAAATGGAAAACATCTCATGCTGATGTACTGGAAGTCGTAATATTATTAAGATGGCAATACTCCCCAAATTGATCTACAGAGTCAACAAAATCCCTACCAGAATCCCATCTGAATTATTTGTAGAAACTGACAAGTTGGTTTCTAAAATTTATATGGAATTGCAAGGGGCCCAAAACAGCCAAAAAAATAATTCAACCTGGAGAACAAATTTGTAGGACTCACACTTCCTGATTTCAAAACTTTTTATAAAGCAACAGTAATCAAGACATGGTGGTACTGTCATTAAGCTAGACATATAGATCAACTGAATAGAACTGAGACCCTAAAAAGAAACCCATGTGTCTACGCTCACCTGATTCTAACAAGACCACATTTAAAGGGGAAATAATAGTCTTTTCACAAATGGTACTGGTAAAACTGGATAGCTACATGCAAAAAAAATGAAGTTGGACCCTTACCCCATAAACAAAAATTAACTAACATAAGTCAAAACCTTAAATGTAAAAGCTAAAGCTATAAAACTCTTAGAAGAAAATATTGGAGTCAATTTTCATAATATCTGATTTGGCAATGGATCCTTAGATATGACACCATAAGCATGAGTAACAAAAGATAAATTAGACCTCATCAAAGATAAAACCTTTTGTGCTTCAAAAGATACTATGAAGAAAGTGAAAAGATAATACACAGATGGGAGAAAATGTCTGCTAATGATACATCACATAAGGGAGTGGTATCTATAATACTTGATGAAATCTTAGAACATAACACTAAAAATTAAAGTAAAAAGCAGCCAATGAATCTGAATCTTTCATCACATGACAAGATGTTCAACATCATTAGTTACCAGGGAAATGCTATAGTCAAAACTGCATTGAGGGGCTTCCTTGGTGGTGCAGTGGTTGGGAGTCTGCCTGCCGATGCAGGGGACACGGGTTCGTGCCCCGGTCCGGGAAGATCCCACATGCCGCAGAGCAGCTGGGCCCGTGAGCCATGGCCGCTGAGCCTGTGCGTCCGGAGCCTGTGCTCCGCAACGGGAGAGGCCACAACAGTGAGAGGCCCGCGTACCGCAAAACAAAAACAAAAACAAAAACACATTGAGAGAGCACTTCACATCTACTATGAAGGCAATAATCAAAAAGTAAGATAATAACCAGTGCTAGTGAGAACGTGGAGAAATTGGAACCCGTGTGCTGGCAGGAATGTAAAATGATACAAGTGCCATGGAAAAAGTTTGGCTGTTCCTCAAAAAGTTAACCATAGAGTAACCATATGACCTAGCAAATCCACTCTTACCTAAAACAACTGAAAACAGGTATTAGAACTGAAAATTGTACCCAAATGTTCAAAAGAGCACTATTTACATTAGCCAAAATGTGGTGATAGAGAGGCGACAGCTAACATGGTATGAAGTTTCCTTCTGAAGTAATGAAAATGTCCTAAAATTGACTGGTGATGGTTGCAAATGTCTGTGAATATACTAAAAACCACTGATTTAAACACTTTAAATGGATTAATCGTATCATACAGGAATTATATCTCAATAAAACTGTTTCTTAAAGTATAATATTAATAATAGTGTTTCTTGTACTCCTTGTACAAGCTCTATGTTGATCCATATTATATCTACATATTTTCATATTCTTCTTAATACCTTTCATTGCTTTACAGATTCCTTAAATTGTGTCACAACCAAAGAGTTATTTTTTTTTTACTGTGCAATCAATTATTCTCTTTTATTGTCCAAATACAGCTGAACCTTGAACACGGCAGGGGTTGGGGCACCGACCCTCTACACAGTCAAAAACCCCGTATAACTTACATCGCCCTCCACATACACGGTTCCTCCGTATCCATGGTTCCACATCTGCAAATTCCACAACTGCAGATCGTGTAGTACTATAGTATTTAGTACTGACAAAAGTCCACGCATAAGTGGACCCATTCAAACCCATGCAGTTCAAGGGTCAACTGTAAAATCATCAATGTAATTAATTACAGAAAGAATGTGTAAAAGTAATAACCCCTAATATTACCCTCAGTAAACTGTTTCTACAAGACACTGAGCATATCACACTCCATACCTGGCCTGCCATGGTATCAAAGAGGAATTGATCAGTGCACATCAGAAACCTGGAGGTGAAAAAACCCTTGTTGCACAGGATGACTATATTTTGAGAAAGACCAGGAAGATGGGAAGGAGAGAGAATATTTATCAAAATAGACAACAGGGCATGAACAGCACCGAGCAAGCCAGCCTGGCACCCATGGGGTACACATGCACTTCACTTCGACTACTAGAAGCCACTTCCTCAGTGGAGTCTCTCCAGAGCACTAAAGCAGCAACACTACACGTGGCGGAAAAAAATTCTATTTCATATGGCTTTCAACCACAGTTGCCTGTGAGTCTTCTAGAAGAGAGAAATAATTAAGACTAAAACTAAGTAGAATGAACCTCAAGATCAGGAAGAATCCACTGGAAATTCCTAATATAACCTATATGCAAAAGGTATTCTGAAGAAATCATAAAAAGAAAGTAAACGTTTTTCCAAATTAGCTCTCCACTAAATAATCAAAAACTCTGAGGTATTTTTCAAAACACTATTCAAAACCCCTCCAAAAGTAACAGAAGTGACAAATAACTCAAGGCGACGCCTCCAGATCACTAAGCACCACCCTTTCATCATATTTAAAAGAGCATGTATGTCTCGTACATTAAAATGTTCCACCACATATTAGGACATGAATCTAAGGATTAAATCAAATCATTTTCCAAACAGAAGGCAACCTACCATTATGTGTTCAAGTAGAGAATCTATTGCAACTATGTTATCAAAATACGTTCTGAAAAAAAGGAAGATAAAACCTTTAAGTAATGTTATTAGAACAAAGAACATGTTAAACTTTGAATGCATTTCCCAATTTTGTCTACATTTAAATAAAAAACATAAAGGTATATGTTGTTTGATTTTTGTCCTTTTGTGGAAACAACCAATAATATTATTTTAAAGAGAGAAATGAAAGTTTATCATTGACTTTAGTATAAGGACTCTAATTCCGGAGGCTGCATTAAGTAATTATTTTATCAGTAAGTATTCAAGGTAGGGAGAAAGTTTGGGGCATTTAACTTAAACTATGAAGAAATAAAATTGGTTTCATCAAACTTAATACCTCATAAATTACTTTGATCTAAAATAAAAATATTTAAATTTGCTAAATCTTATTAATATGCTAAAATGTAAATTATCACTGGAAAAACTCAAAAGTTAAAATGTAGTTTAAGTGTACTAAGAAAGCAAGGCAATTCATTTGAGACGAGATATCAGAATACAAATAATGGCAAGGACCTGACCACTTTACACGAGTAAAATATATATTCATCATTTTGAACTGCAAGTAAATATTTGGGAGGCATATGGTACATACATTAAAATGTAGACCAGAGAAACAGAGGAATCAACAGGCACGGTGTTACAGGGAATCTATAAAGAAATGCTCTTAATATAGACCCGATTGGCAAGGTACTGCTTTCAGTTTAGTTTTGTGAGAAGTTAGTAATGTATTCAGGATTAAGATAACTTATAGCAATAAACAATGCCTTTTTTTAGAAGAGAAATCATCTGGCTTGAAGCTACTAATACGCTTCGTTACACCATCCACTGAGGAATATCCTGCAAGGAACAGGGGGAAGCAAACGGGTTTCCCACTGGGGAACAGATTTAAGGTGTCACATGAGGGTTTTAATTGGACTTTGGGAGACCTGCAAAGTATTCACATACATTAGTATGAGAACGTGCACAGCTTCCCTTCCTAGGTGTTTCTGAAGTAGTAATATCATGTGTCCCAGAGATACTGTTTAATTCCATCTCAAAAACGACAGTTGGCCTAGGGGATCAATAGAGCACTCCCTCAGTCCCATACCTCTCTAATTTTATATTCCAAAGCACAAAGCAGCAACTTCAGAATCATTAGTGACGAGGATTACTAGACTTGGTGATGAGTTGGTTATGAAGTGTGCCAGGGTGACACGTGAACAAGAACGCAGTCAGAGTTGTGTTGGAGGCCTTGGAGGCACAGGTACATCACACCTTGAGCTAACTTGTCAGAGGATGGGACCTGAAGTTACCATGTCCTGGGGCGTTTTAGATTTCAACAGTTAAGCAGATGGGTCAGATAGATACGAGAGCTTCCCTGTAGCAAGCAAACCCAGTATGAACCTGAAATTTAATAAGTATCTGTAATTGCTTCCGCTGCCAGCCCAAGGGAGTTTTTCTAGGTCAAACTTCAGGGAAATGGAGCATTTTCTGGAGAATGATATCTGAGCTACTATACATGAGATAATTAAAATGATAATATTATGAGTCTGTTTTAATGTACTGACATTTGTTGAAAAGGCCAGAGAGGACTATTTGGAAAATAATAAACTAGGACATTTCCTCTCCTTCTACTGCTGTCAGTTTTCTCCCATGAAAATAGAAATATCAATACTTAGTGCCTCTCTCTAGATAGCCTCTAACACCTTCTAGTGAGTCTGTTTAGAAAAGATATACCAACTTGCAAATTAAGATCATCACATATACATCTGCGATCCTTCACTTGTAAAGTGAACGTGGATGAGGATGTAACTCTATGATCCAAAATACGAACGACCATACTTACCTTACCACCCGCCTAATAAAGATTGGTCTTCTGTTACTGACTGCACTAGATAGCAATCTATCACTGTCAGAGCCTGCACTTAATCTAAACTGTTGATCAATAAGAGCTACCACATCCCTAGACATGAACACTTACTTTGATACGTCGAGCAGAAAGTCATTCAATTCAGTTTGTTTGGCAAGACCTCTGCATACCTGCCATACAAAATAATGGCTATTAATTTTAAGGGAGTTCTGCTTATTTAAGAATAAAAATTCCAGAATACTAGTTACCTTATTTATTTAAAAAGGCATAACACAATCACTACTTCAATGCTTTTAAAATTGTACTTGGGTGCATATCCTACCTACATTCAATACTGTCAGGTCCAGGAAGCCCTTGCTTCTCATACCATTATCCTAAAATATATATACATTTTCTCCCTATCAGACAGTTCCTCATCAACCTGAGTTTGCTGAAATGGACTTAAAGGAACAAAACGAGAAAAAGTGGAAGATACAAAATAGAATTCTATTGCTGCCATGTTCCTGAACTTAAAAGTCTAGTTCTCGGGAAGACTCCATGCAGTTTGTGATCTTTTAAATTAGATCACATTTTCAAGAGAATCAGGTATCTTAAATAACAATTAATGTTTAAGATTAATGTTTTCATATAACACTTAGTTTAGTGGATGTTTTAATTTAGGAAATGGAGTCATAAAAATATCAGTGTTACTGCCAGGAGGAGGTCATTCCTGGGCTTTCAGTGGGAAACAAAAACCATGATAGGGAACATAAATAATTTAACATTATATGTAAATATATAAAAATAATTAATTGGAAAATATTTAAGGCAGGGAGTAAGTAAATATAAGCGAATAGATCAAACATTTTAGAAACAACAAAATACCTAATATCCAAAAACAAAGCACTGGGTTAACCTCCATTCCGTTCCCCAATGCTGCACTCCAAACACCCTTTTCTCCTAGGAAGCCCCTGTGAAAACATCCCAAAGACACACCTGAACCTGATGTATGGCTACTGAAGCCCAGGCAAGATTTGCTGTTGCAACCTAAAAAAAAAAAAAAAAAGAGTATGAAGCAAGTTTTTATCAGTCACATGCAGACATCCCAGCAAAGGACTCTAGCATAAACATATATGAACAATTTTGTAAGATCATTGCATTTTTGAATATTTTGCCAAATGTGAATAGTCAAATATATATAAAGTTTCTCTTTTATATTTCCCACTTCTTTATTATTGAGTTTAATGCTCTCTTGTCCCTCCTACTTCGGGTTAAAAAGGAAGATAAATTGATTAAGAGAGCTGTCATCCAATGATTTTAACATAAAATAATTATTTTTCAGTTCAACCAAAATACTATTAAAAAGGCCTCTAATGACCACTTTAGAATGAGGAAGTATTTCCCAGACTTCACTGACAAGTGCTCAAACTTCTAGCTATTCTATTTCTTTGATTTTTCATCCATCTAACAAATATTTATTGGGTGCCTACTAGGTACCAGGCGCTGTTCTAGATGCTGGAGATACAGCACGAACAACAGAACAGCTCACAGCTGCTGCGGGCAGAGAGAAGGGCAAGAAAGAAAATAAAGCAAAGTGCACGTTATACTGGCTGGTGACGCGGCTATAGCGGAAAAGAGGCACGACAGAAGGACAGGAGCCGCTCACGTCTGTGTGCGGTGTTCAGCGAAGCCTGATCAGAGAGGGTGACCTCAGAGCACATTCCTGAGTGAGGCAGCTGGGGCTGGGTACAGGACAAGCGCAGTGCAAGAGGAGGGAGAACAGAGGCGCAGGCTGCGTGCAGGAGAGGGCCCAGCATGGCTGCAGGCAGGGAAGGGGCTGGAGCAGCAGAAGACGGGTCATCTTGGTAAGTGCACACGGGGTGCAGGCCACGGAGGGACCTGGGTGAACACCTCGTCTGACAGATAGATCATGTACTGTTTGGTTTTAGTAGGACTGAGCCGTTCCGGTTCAGGGAACAGTGAACGGAAGTTATTGTTTCCCAAATGGATTTGATGCTGCTACTTCTATTCAGGACATACTCTAGGAAGAGGACATTTTTAAGGGGTCAACTAGAATGTGAAAACTCTCCAAAGCCATCCTACGACTTCATTTGATTCACAATATGGTATTTTATTTTTATTGTTAAAATGGATCCTTACTAAAATAACTTACTATAAATTTCTATATCGCTATATTGAGTGAGTTTCCTCTCTAAACAACTGCAAGACAAAAAAAATGTTTTGAAAAATCGTTAGTAGTAGTATCAAAATATTATTAAGCAAATTACGGTTTTAAATATTCCCTCATTAAATATTCATCATTTATTAACTGAATATTACTCAGCACCTTCAATGAACTAGGTGCAACTAAAAGTCCTCACAGGCAGCGTCCAGGCCTCACCTCCTGATGACTCAGACAGAAGGCTTCCTTGCCCCAGTGCCGGTACAGCTCAAGGATGCCGATCAAATCACCGATCGCCGTGACAATTGGCAAACAAAGAACAGACTGGATACGCGTCCCTGATTCCAGTCCGGTACCTCTTGGAAATCGTTCGTCCTAAAAAAACAGAAGGGTAAAAGATATAAACTCAGTGAAAGTAATGGAATCATCCAGTTATGATTCTATCAGCAAATTCCTTATACTCGTCATCAGTAATGAGCAGTCCTTTTCAAAGGAAAACCAAATGACCATGGCCACCATAAACACCGCTTAAGAAAATGCTTATCTTTAGCAACGTGGAACTTATACCCAAATATGGATTTAATGTTTCTTTATCACTGTACAGTAGAATTTAATTAGTGAATGAGTATACATAACTTCATGCAATAATAAAAGTAATTATGATGGTTAACATTCATTTATTCCTCACCTGGTGTGTGCCAGGACTAAGGGATTTACAGGTATAAGGTCACAAGTGAAAATTACTCCAAATGTAAATGCCATAGGAAGGAAATTACATGTATAAAATTTCTTCCCTTCTATTTTTAAGGTTAGAATAACACAAAAGCATACGTTAATGAAAGTCATTGTAACTGAACCTCAAAGGCCCATATTAGATATTCAAATCATCCAATAATTACCAATTACCTATCATAAGAAATGAGTCGGTTCTTTGACTTAGCTTTCTAGCTTAGCAAAATCACTCAAAGGAACACAAGAAACTCAAATGAATTAATATCAAAACGTCAATTCTATGTATTCAATTTCTGTGGTCTACAGGAAGCTTTTCATGAATAGACTGGTATAAATCTATACTTTGTAATTTACAGATATTTTGAAAGCTTGCCTATACATACAATAGAACATTTTGAAATGACAACTTACACAGTATCTACTTTTTACGTTTACTTCTTAGAAATGAAGGATATTTGGCATACCACACTGTGGAAGTTTAAGGTATACAACATGTTGATACGTTTATATGTTGTAATATGGTTGCCACTGTAGCATTGTTAATGCCCCTATCAAGCCACATAATTATCTCTTCTTTTTTGTGGTGAGAATAATTAAGATCTAGTCTCTTAGCAAGTTTGATGATTATAATACAGTATTGTTGTCTATATACATTATACTGTGAAACATTTATTTTTAGCACTTTTTCTTTTCTTATTTTTGATAAAGTAACTAGTAACCTGATTTGTTCAAGGCTATACAGATAACTAGTGGCAAAAACAAAATTAATATCTAGATTTTGTGACTCCAATTTAGTACTTTTTCAGAGCAAATTCATGACACCTATATACTTGTTTGTATGCTTGTCAGTTTCAAAGTCTGAGCTCATGCAGTGACATTTCATCACAGTGTACACATGCACTGTGGCAGACTGCTCTGAGGGCTCTGTTTTGTCCTGTTCTCTGTACCCATGGCCTTGGTCAGACCCTCCTACACTCAGTCTGGGCCTCCCATGAGATTTGCTTGGCTAACCTGAGGGCAGTGAATTTGATGTAAGCAGAGGCTTGAAAAGTCACTTGCATGTGTCCACTTCTTCTCTCTGACACCTGCCACCATCATAAGAACATGACGCTAGCCTTACTGGTTGGGGTGGCGAGACACACACAGAGAACGAAGGCCACCTAAGACTGGCCAGCTCCTAAGTGATGGCCAGTTGATGTCAGACACATAAGCAAGCCCAGTCAAAGATAGCCCAGATCAGCAGAATGGCCCAATCCAGAGACAGTGAGTGGTGGCTGTATGACCCCACTAAAATCTGGGGTAGTTTGTCACACAGCAATAGCTGACTCATTCATATATATCCTGCTAGGATATGAAACATAAAACAGTAATCATCTAGTCTATATGACTATGAGTATACATTTTTATGCTTAACTATACTGGCAAATGTTGAAAGAACAACTACTCAAATCTACATCTTAGGGGTACGTAAGATATAATTCTTGGAGTACAAAGAATTAGTTTACATACAAATGCATTTATTGATCTGTATCTTGCTTTAAAGCTGTTATAAAATGGCTTAAATTAAAACATCAAGAGTATATGTTATCTTTCTTAATTAAATACTTCAGGTTACGAATGTCACAAAGGGTAAAAAGCCACTTACCCCAAGGATGTCTTCTACTAGCAACGTTTTTCTGGACTTGGCCACATAGGCAGAGGTGGTGGTGCCCTGGGCGATGGGCCCAGCGGGGATGAGCCTGGGTTTTCCTTCCTTGATTCCAGGTGGGGTAAACACACAAAGGCTCTAGGAAGAAAAAAGGAATATGTTTTATAGACTTAGGAAAGTCTTTGGCACAGGACGAAAAGATTACTTAACAATCGCAAGAAATCTGTGAGCCAAGGAAAAGTAGAGACATAAGATGAGGAAAGGTGCTTTGCGTGACCAAACTGAGCATCTGAGGTGAAATTCTCTTTCATATGTCCTACGCACACAACACACAGGCTAGATACAGGACTCACACAAATGTCTAGGTGCAGAAAATCTCTTAAAATAGCCTCCGATTTTTATCCACAGAAAATAATAAAATGAAAACAAAATGTAAGCTGTCCTTGGGCTCAAGAAACTATCACACAAGAAACAGACACACTGCCCTACAGACTTGCCACATGGCTCTGTAACTACAGGTCAACGTGATTTGGTTATATTTTTTCATTTTCATTAAAAATCTTTTTCAGAACATTATTTCTATTTTTAATACTCAACCACTCCATTCCTAAAACTGACCTGCCCATAAAATTACAGATTCAGAATACTCTTGGTACAATTTTTGCTCTTCTCTGCACACACACACCAAAAAAAAAAAAAGAAAGGACAAAGCTGGGTGTATCTTTCCGTCTCAAAAGACTAGGTGGGAGGGTAACATTTGAAACTATTTTAAAAGAAATGTTTTTTAAAATATGATCTGTTAGTTTGACTAAACCAAATTATATTTTAAAATAACTTTCTACTAAATAAGAATTGCTCATCCAAACAAGTCATCTGGGCATGGGGAGCAATATTTTGACATAACTGTATTATGATTATCTACTCAATTTGAAAAATATTAAAGTTCTGCTAAATTCTGCCAACACTATACTTTTTTTTTTGCCGTACGCGGGCCTCTCACTGTTGTGGCCTCTCCCATTGTGGAGCACAGGCTCCGGACGCGCAGGCTCAGCGGCCACGGCTCACGGGCCCAGCCGCTCCGCAGCATGTAGGACCTTCCCGGACCGGGGCACGAACCCGTGTCCCCTGCATCGGCAGGCGGACTCTCAACCACTGCGCCGCCAGGGAAGCCCCCAACACTACACTTTTATTTTATTTTTAATTGGAGTGCTGTGACTTAAGGATGATGCCCTTTTGAAGCAGTGAGTATTAGGCAATCCTCTGAAGCTAAAGATGTTCCTATTAATGCTTGCTAGCACTAAGCTAGGTCCAGGTGAGGACAATGAGCTGGATGTGGTTATTACTTTTTAGACAACGTGGTTTTCAAGCTTCGTAATGTCGAAGAGCCCTTTCTTCAAGTGAAATCTTACAGTCACAAGACAGTGAACCCTATAAACTTGAGCTACTTCAGTCACTGGGAGCGGAGAGGAGGAAAAGAGCTTTGGCTCTCACCCCACCTGCTTTAAGTAAGTCGTCATTATCTAAAGATTACAAGTTAAGTTCAAAATATTTTTATTCATTAATATATCTACATTAGTTAGGATTGTGTTTAAGCAGTAATTTGCTATTATGCCTGTGAAAAATGCTTTTTGAATGCATCTTTTAAAAAGGATTAAGCTTAAAATGTTTAAATACAAGTTACACACTTTAAAAAGATTTTTACGTTTCAGCTACACGTAAGATGATAAATGACAAACGCACTTTATTTTTAAAGAGGCTAGAAATAAGTCACTGTTTTTATAGTTACTATAATGCACCAATATACATAAGACATAAACGAAGTAAGACTTTCATTAGATTTAGTATCTATGTGGCAATACAATTCAGTGTGTCACCCCTTCTTAAGATTGAGAAAGAGTAGCGAAATGATCCAAGAACAGGAAGAGAGATGACTGCAAGAAAAAATGTTAAAGGACATGGTATATTTAGCCTGAATAAAAGTCAGAATTGACAATGATTTTTCCAAACTATGACAAAGTTAATCGTAAGAAGGATGCTGAGTAATGTTTCTTTACTCAACCAGAGTCAGAACTGCAGGAAATGAACTTAAATTGACCTGAATCATTTAGTTAAGTCTTAAAGAACTTCCCATGACAGCAATAGAAAGTAAACTCTAAAGCAAGCTCCCGACAGAAGCTTTGGATTTTTTAAAAATAGTTGTTGACTTTATTTGTTTGTTGTTTGAAGATATACAACAGATATCTCTTTTGGATGACTTTGCTATATGCCCTTGAAGGCTGGATTTAATAGTATCTTCATAATATCTTCATAATAATATCTTCATTTAGCTTCATAATTCAATATGACAAAATAGCTTACACATACACATTCCTAGGTTATTAGGTCATTTATTTAATATAAAACATTTATTGCCTCTGTGTAGGCTTTCTATATGATGCACAAGAAACAGACAAGCAAATACTGCACCTTGGGTATATGGAAAGCTATTTTACATACTAGATTTGCTGAAAATAAATGATTTAGAAATCTTTCAATTACTTGATTGATGTAGAAAACTCCTTGTGGAAAATAACTATCAAAAAAATAAATAATTTTTTACAGTGGGAACTTTATACTTGTTTTACTAAATAGGTTATGATTTTTGTTCATACTTACCAAACAGAAATGTTTACAAATGAGAGCTGAGGGCAAGTGCTGACAAAATTTTGAATAAGTTGTCATATGAAGGCCAAAAGCTCAGATAGGAAGGGAAAATGAGGACCAACCTAGACAGACACCTGTTTTTTGACGTTTTTACAGCTTCAATTTTTCTCCTCTGTGCACTTAGGAGTTTCCTACTCTTTTTGGATGGCATTTTTTTTTAACTCCATACGATTCACCTGTGCAACAGCTCCGTCCATGACCTCCATTTCTGATTAAAGATCAATCACTGGTTTGAATTGTGTGTTCTGCAATATATTCTGTATGATCTCTGTAGTGGAACAGGCTGATGGGCAGCTATTACTGCAAACAGACAACGTCGATAACGAACCTCCAAATTAGAGGCTAAATTTTACACGTATTCAGGAATGGAGAAAAGTTTATTAAATATACCTTTATTTACTCCACAGAAATAATCAAACAGATAGCTGTGTATCAAATAGTCTTCTTTTTCCCACTGGCTGAACTGACACTTTCATCATATACTAAATCCCCAAGTACACTTGGGTCTGCTTCTGAACTCTCAATTTTGTACCACTTGGTTTATTTGCTAGCACACTATTTTAATTACCGTGAGTTTATAGTACATGTTGTGATCTGGCAAGGCGAGTCTTGCTTGGGTTCTTCATGTTTCAAAATAATCGTAATTTATAAGACATATTTTGCATTTTTCATTGGTGAAGGGCCTGCATTAATGCATTAACAACTGATGGGTGTAAATAAGTTCTAAAGAAACTTAAAAATGAAGTAAGGGCTTTATTTTTCAAAATCAATCATGATGAATTTTTAAAGACGTATTTAAAAAAATTTTTAATACAATGCTTAAAGGTTACGTTCCAGTTAAAGTTATTACAAAATATTGGCTATATTTCCCGTATTGTAGAATACATCCTCGGAAGCCTATCTTACACCCAGTGGTTTGTACCTTCCACTCCTCCATGCCAATCATTATGAATTTTGACATAAGAATTTGACTGGGATGTTCAGGTTAATAAGATGAAAGAGATTATACTATTTATTTTCATAGGTGGATGAATGAAAACTTTCATCAAACATCACTACATAACATTTTAAACGTATTAAGACTATTATGCATACATTTACAATCTATAACATCCAGCATTGAAATGAGTCTCTAAAATTAATTTCTGCTTTAATGTTGTATGAATCTATGAAAACTTTTATTAACACAAACATTTTTTAGAGGCTAGAGATGAAAACTACACGAAAACTAAAAACAAGGAAAAGGTTCAAAGTTTCAAACCTCAACCACCTCTACCCTTTCCAGAGAAGAGCATCGCTGCATTCAGGACGTGCACCTGCCCACTGATGCTGTGCACCTTCATTCCCACCTGACAGCTCTGCAGGTGGCTTGACTGTTGTTAGGCCTTTCCCCTCCCAACACCAGCAAGGAGACTGGCCTAAGAGCTAGAAATCAATCCAGAGGTGAGGCCATGCAGTAGTAGGGGATGAATTAGCTCTTTCAATATTTCAAAGAAACTCATTATGAACTACCCAATATTTTTGTGATAACAGTACATTTCGTAAGTATTTCTAAAGTTAAATAATTTAAACTAGAAAAGATTGGTAACGGTAGTCATAATGAATAAGTTGGCTCAACGAAGGAATAAAAAGCATTCAAATTAGTTAAAAAATCTAATTTTGAGAAATAGATTTGGTGGGAAAAGAGCCATAGAATAGACTATCACACATTATTTCTTAAAAACCAGGATTTTTTGATGAATTGGGAAATTGATTCACTGACATCAACTAAAGAGAGAAGTCTACTTCGCTTGGTAAACAGTTGCTCTCATCTTTCTTTCCATGAACGATTCAAAGATCACTTGATTCGTGAAACTTCACTTGCACGTTAAGGCTTCAACTCACAACCAGTTAAATTTTGGAACCACTTTTTAAGAAGAAAAAACATTATTTAGGCTTACCATTAAGTTATTTTTCTTATAGACACTAGATGGCACTGGAGAGTAAATGAATGTAGATCCGGGCAGAGGGCGTGAGCCAGGAACCCCAGGTACACTGGACCTTGAACCACATGCCTAACTTCGTTAGCATAATTCTTAGAAATAAACCTACTAAAGTCATTGTGCATTGAACAAAGTCACACAGTTACTCTAAACTACTGGCTGTAAACTGGTTTCTAAGCTAATACACAAACGCTATCTATGAACTTACTTTATGAATTATAAAGTTTGACGTATAATTAGAGATCACTAGGTTTCCAGCTTTCACAAACCACTAATTACAGGCAACACAAGAAAAACTATAGTAATGACATTATAAAAAATGTTACATAGTAAGTGGAGTATGTGACTAGGTGTGAAAGAGAAAACCTGTAGAAACATTAAAAAGTGAATTAAGCAAAATCTTAATCATGGAAAAATCAGTTTTGCCCAACAAACATTTCAAGAGCACCTTGT